TTCTCTTCTCTCCCCTCATTCCCTCCCTCTGCCATTATCGGTCTCAGTGTCGCTTTGTATTTCGCTCTCGCTGTCTGCTCTGGCTCTACGCGTCTCCGTGTGACGTCAGAGGGGGCAGGGAGTGACATGACGCGGACATGCCAGGGTGGAGTACACAGGATGGTGAGGAGGAAGAGGAGGAGGGGACGAGCAGGAGGAGAAGGAGGTGGTGGATGGAGGCGGCACTGCCAAGTCGTGTTGTTTATGCTGTTAGGTTGGGCTTGGGCGGAGGGGGTGCTTCCTGTGGGTGACTGCCGTGTCTTTGGCTTGAGTGTCTCTCACGAATAGTGATGACACTGATGCTGCTGGTGATGATGATGCTGCTGGTGATGATGACGATGATGATGTTGATGATAACGATGACGACCCGATGCTGGTGGTGACATTGATGACGACGATGACGACGATGCTGATGCTGATGATACTGATGATACTGATGATACTGCTGATTATGCTGATGCTGATGCTGATGATGCTGCTGCTGATGATGGTGATGATGATGCAGATGAGTATGACGCTTATGCTGATGCTGCTAAGGCTGATAATGGTGATGATGATGTTGGTAATGGTGATGATAGCGATGCTGTGGATGATGATGGTGCTGATGTTGAGGATGGTGATGGTGCTGATGTTGCTGATGATGATGCTGATGATGATGCTGATGATGATGCTGATGATGCTGATGCTGCTGATGATGCTGATGCTGATGATGGTGATGATGATGATGCTGATGATGCTGAGTATAATGACGATGATGATACTGACGATGCTGATGCTGCTGATGATGCTGAGGATGATGATGATGCTGTTGTTGATGATGATGATGATGATGACGATGATGATGATGATGATGATGATGATGAGGATGATGATGATGATGACGATGCCGCTGATGCTGCTGCTGATGATGCTGCTGATGAAGCTAATGATGATGATGAGGAGGATGATGATGAGGATCATGATGATGCTGCTTATGCTGATGTTGATGCTGATGTTGATGCTGATGCTGGTGCTGACGATGCTGCTGCTGCTGCTTCTGATGTTAATGACGATGAGTCTGATTATGCTGCTGATGTTGACGACGATGGCGATGACGATGACGACGGCGGCAGGGCTAATGAGAGAAGAGGACGGCGGGAGGGCTAAGGCGAGAGGAGGGTAGATGATGAGGGCGGAGGACGGGGAAGGGTGGGACAAGGTGGGGGATGGAGAATGAGGAGGAGGGGGAGAAGGAGGAGGAGGAGGAGGAGGAGGAGGAGGAGAAGGAGGAGGAGGAGCATTGAGGAGTAGGAGGAGGACTGATGATGAGGAGGAGGAGCATTGAGGAGGAGGAGGAGGAGGAGGAGGAGGAGGAGGAGGAGGAGGAGCAGGAGGAGCAGGAGGAAGAGGGGGAGGAGGAGGGTGAGAAGGAGGATCGCAAGGCGCAACGGAAGGGGATGGCGGCCCCCTCTCGGCGGAACGCGGCTAGTGCACGGCGCAAGGGGCGCGTGCGGCCGAGGCGTTGCCCCTTGGGCCATTCGCGGGGTGGTGGTGGTGGTCGTCGTCGTGGTGGTGGTGGTCGTCCTCGTCGTCGTCGTCGTCGTGGTGGTCGTAGTCGTCGTGGTCATCGTTGTCGTCGTCGTCGTGGTCGTCGTTGTCGTCGTCGTCGTCGTCGTCGTCGTCGTCGGTCGTCGTCGGCCTCGTTGTCGTCGTCTTTCTCGTCGTCCCGTTGCCGTCGTTGTCGTTGTCGCCGTCGCCGCCGCTGACCTCTCCGCCGTCGCCGCTCTCGCCGCCGGCCGCCTGCAGCGCTCGCCCCGATTTTCCTCGGGGGGGGGCGCCTCCCCCCCCCCCCTGGCGACCGCGAGGGCCCCTCGGCCTCCACCGCCTCGGGGGGGCTTGACGGTCCTCTCCGGCCGGCTCGCGGGGCTACAGTGAGCGGCTTGAATAAGGAACACTTACTTTTCAAAAGGGGCTCGGTCGTTCCTGAGGTTTGCATGCGCTATTTACAGTTCCTCATGCGTTTTTTATTACTTATCGTTCCTCATGCTTTTGTCCTTGGAAAAAAAGGGGCTTCGTTCCTTATTTATCGTTCCTTAGGTCAGGCCGATGACTGTACGGCCGGGAACTTCGGCCCAGCGTGTCACGCCGCCGGTTCCTTGGCACACCGCGCTGCGGCGCGACGCGCCGACCACGCCTCCGTTCGCATTCGCCAACGTCCCGAGCCCCTCCCGGCACCCCGCCCCGCGGCGCGGAGAGCCGCGCTATACCCACGTGCAGGGCGCAGCGTGCCCCCCCCCCCCCTTGGCCGCCGCGGCGGCACGGGAGGCAGAAGCTCGTGGCCGTAGAGCCCCAGGTCTCCCACGACATGGGCACGAGGCAGAAGTTCTGGGGGATGGGAATCAAGTGGAACTACCGTTTAAGTCGGGCCTGTCCCTCTACAGGAGGGATCTTCCCAACCAGTCAAGAAATAGTGCGGGACGATTTTTCGACCGTTTTTGACCATTTCGGCATATTTTTGGATTCTTCTTAATTTTTCGTCTAAAATCCGCCTGTCGGGGGACATGCCCGACCTGCAACGACCGCGGTCGGCGTCAGGAGGGGACGCGCCGAGTTCGGCCAGGTCTGGGGCTCTGGAGAGAGGGGGGGTCCAGACCCCCTCGATTCCCCCGCTCCGACCTCTGCGACCCGCGCCGGCGTCGAGGACTCTTGCCCGCGCTCCTGTTTTTGTTTTGCTCTGGTGGATTTTCCTCCATCTCGGCTTCTGTGGCCTGCTGTCGGGCCTCGGGACAATCCAACGCACATCTGCGACGAAGGCTTCACCCCGGGGGCGGGGTCGGGATTTCTGAGGGCCGCGCAGTGGAGAAAACACATGTTCCAGATGTATGTGGCCAGGTAAATCGATCGACGTATGACGAGGCAGTACAAGGTACACCCAGATGGGACCAGGCAGGTCCAGGGATGTCCCAACAAGCTTGGACAGGCCGCGGGAGATCCGATCACGAGCCTGGGAGCAGCAAAAGCCGTCAAGCCTTCAGCGACTCCCTCCTCGTTGCGCGGTGTCCGACCCCGGACAAAACCTCCAGGTCGATTTTGGAGGTTGCCGCGGTGATCATGGCAACCAAAAGTCGAGGCAAGGTTTTTGCCGAGGAGTGGCATGCCCCTCCCCAGCGCCCCCCCGCTCTGCGACGTAGACGTGGCTCATCATTCACGATGCAGCGACGGAGAGCTGCTCCTCTCTGTCCAGCATGGGCAGCCACAGGTTTTCCTAGGGGTCGGGGGCGGACAAAACCCCCAACAGTGACACGTCGATTAGTGAATTGTCCGTTTTCGGTTCTCGAGAGGGCGCCGCGGCCGTTATTTTCCATGCTTGCGCCCGCGAAGTTTGGGCCTCAGGTCGTTTTCACTAAACCACGTTTTACTAAAGGGAGGTCTGTCCATCCCCGAAGGGGGCGACTATCACGCAACGACCTTCCCCTCCCCCCTCCCCCCCTCCTCGTCGGTGGCCAGGTGCTCGACTGCGGCCCCCCGGCCGCAAGGCAGCCGGCCGGCTGGACCGCCGATGGGCTCCGCCGGCGAGCGGCGAAAGCGCCCTGGCCCAGACACTAAAACGACGCGAAGATCGGGACAAAATCGGATCGGGATAACCCGAAATCTCTGATTATTGGCGGGTTCGGAGGATGTATTGGGCGCCGCGGCCGCTCCAGAGCGTTCCGGAACGCTCTGAGAGCGCTCCGGAACGCTCTGGAGCGATTTATCCCGATCCTAGCCCTGTTTGAGACCCCTGGCCTCGTGGTCTTGGCAGGGCGTGGGCCTCCTGAGGCCCGGGCCCCTCTCCAGGGACCCGCTGGTCGTCCCGGACTGTGGCCTGACGGTCCCGAGGCGGCCCCTGGAGTTTTTTTTGTTTTTTTTTTGTTTATTTTTTGTTTGTTTTTTTTTTGGGGGGGGGGCTATTTTCATGTTTGGTAAAAAATCATGAACGACATTAGACAACACATGCATTTGTTAGTTGCATCTGCATAAATGCAGCTAAAGCATTCCGCATTTTTTCAGGGCTGCAGCGATCCTCCGGGCCACATCGGGCCCGCCCGCCCCCCCCCCCCCAAGGACAGCTGGACCCTGCCGCGGTCCGAAGGGGGTTCGCAGTGCTGCAGGGTCGCGCGGGCGTACGCGTGGGCCGCCCACAGCGACAAGGTCGGGTTACGTATCGGCCGCCCCTCCTCCTCCTCCTCCTCCTCCTCCTCCTCCTCCTCCTCCTACTCCCCCCACGCCTCCATCTCCACGGGATAACCTGGGCCATCGCCGAACAATAGAAAGTATTTCTGTGGGCCGTCCGAGGCTTGGACCCCCATCCAGGGGACCCGCCTTCTTGGTCCTGGACTGCTTTCTGACGGTCCCGAGGCCCAGTGGGGGCCCCTGGAGGCCGATATCAATCCAAAGCTGTCTGTGCTGATTTTTTTCGCGACGCGAGAGGGGTTCCAGGATCGGCTCAGAATGGGTCTCCAGACCCCTGCCAGGGTCGAGACGCACCAGTGTTTCGAGCGGCGTCCAGCCATGGCGACGTGGCGGGCCACCGAAGGCTGAAAAAGCCTCGAGCCTCGAGCCTCGAGGTTCGAACCTCGATCGTCGTATCTTTTAAAGGCCTCGAGCCTCGAGCTTCGAGTTTCGAACCTCGCTCGTCGTGGCTTTTGAAAGCCTCGAGCCTGAGCCTCGAGGTTCGAACCTCGCTCGTCGTGTTTTTTTCGGCCTCCTAGATGGGGTCGGAGTAGATGGGGTCGGAGGATCGCGCCGCATCGCCGATGCACCGGCGATGCGGCGCGATGCAGAGCCCGATTTGCTCCATGCCGGCGTCGCCGACGCATCGCAAACGTCGACGATGCATCGCCGGTGCATCGCCGATGCATCGCCGATGTATCGTCGATGCGGCGCGATCCTCAAGCCTCGAGGTTCGAACCTCGCTCGTCGTGGCTTTCCCGCGACGACAGCCACGTCGATTGGCCGAGGGGCGCAGGCGGGGCCGCCGTTGATCGCGTGGCCCCCCGGTCGGCAAATGGACGACGCCGGCCCGCCGGCGTCCCCGGACCCGCTCCCCGACGTGTCGCCGCTGCTGTGGGTGCGCTGGGGGGGCGGGGCGCCGCGCGCGGGCGGGGCGCGGTGTCGTAATTGGGAGGAGGGAAAGGTGCCCACACCGCTACCCATCCGTCGTTTTCGCCTTTCTGGGCCTCCTGGGAGGCCCTCGTCGCCACCACTGAATTCGCTTCGAAATTCTGGTCAGAACGCACCCCGAGAGAGGTCCGGGGAGTAGCCGTATCGGTACTTTTGGCTTTCCCCACGTAATGAGAGGTATGGCGACCCAAGATTTCCCCCCAAGTGTATTTGGTTAGTTTTTTGGCAGGGATGTTTTCTTTGGGGCGGGGGGATGTTGTCATGCGTGCACGCATGTATTCGGGTTGGCTGCCGGTCCCCTGATGGACTATATATGAAACTATATATAGAGATCATATGGAGCAGTGAGCCCCTCGCCCAAGTGGAAAAAGCGGGGCTGGAAGAGGCAACGTCCTACTGGAAGAGGAAACGCTCTGAAGGGCTTGTGGGATTACAGTCGGGCCCCGCCGGCACGAGCTCTCAGAGAGGATGCACCGTGGCGCCGCTGGGATCCTTCACCGAGCGCGTTCCACTACTCGCAAAGTGCCTACTCGGAAACGTCAGCCCAAAAAAAGATGTTCGCCTCGACGTATTGGATTGTGAATCCTCCGCGGCGGACCCAGGCCGTTTGCGTGTAGCTCCTTTGCGAGTAGTGGAGGGCGCTTATCTAAGCATGAGCGGCTACCGCGCGCGCGGCCCGACTCCGCCCTGACTTGTCGTTCCCGTCGGCTTCACGTGCCGGCACACGACACACCAGGCGGGTCTGGGGTCGGACGGGGCTACTACGAGGATAAATCCGTTCCAGAGGTTCCAGAACGCTCTGAGAGGGCCGCGGCGCCCGAGAGCCTCTAGAGCCGCCGCATCTCAGAGATTCTCGATTTACCCTCACCCGAATCTGTCCTCGTCCTGGCTTTGTCTTATGGGGGTCGAGGGCAGGACGTGGGATCGGGGAGGGTGCGCCAGCACGGGCCCCCCAGACGCCTTCCACGCGGCCCTGTCGATGGCCGCGTGTCCTGGTGGTTGCTCCCCGGCCCCCTTGTTTGCAATGCTCAGGACGGAAAAAACTCACAGACACAAATCATCGCCGATCCCTAATAATGGAAGACATGGAAAGTGGAGGGGAGGGCGAACATCCAGAAAATACGGCAACATACGGGGCTCCTGGGATCTGTGCCTACTTGTTTGTGTGCACCTGGGCCCCTTCAAAAAAGACGCCCCCTGATCGCCCAACGGGTCCAGGCTCACGTCGCTGCTGCTCCTCCGCCTCCCCTTCTTCCTCCTCCCTCGCCCCTCCTCCTCCTCCTCCTCCTCGTCCTCCTCCCCCTCCTCCTCCTTCTCCCTCTCCTCCTCCTCCTCCTCCTCCTCCTCCTCCGTTGCCATTTTGGCTCAAGTCGGGGACAGGCCCCTTTTGAGCGCGGCAGCTCTCTTCTGAGGGCGATCTGGGGTCAGACCCAGGCGGACGCTCCTCTCTCCAGCCGCCTCATTTTGTGTGCGGCCTCATGGCGGGTCGCGCAGCGATGTCTCATGGTGATGACACGCTCGCCCGCATCCTCTCTGGCATCGAGGGTCTCGGCACGCGCATGACCCAGGTCGAGGGCCACCTCGGCGACATGAAGGCCATCAGGGAAGAGGTCTTTGCGCATCATCAAAAGTTCGAAGTGCTCGCCGAGCAATTGGCTAGCGTGCAGGCCACGACGGACGTGATGAGTGACGCGCTGGCAAACCTAGGTGAATCCGATGTCATCAAGAGATTGCAGTCACAAGCAGACTCCTCCGCGCTGCAGCTGAAGGAGTTGGCTGGACAGGTGGCCAACGACACTCGCTCTACCGCCAGTGGATCTTCCCTCGCATCTACGCTTGGATCCAAGAGGGCTCGCACCGCAGGTCCCGAGAGACATGGTGGCACCGCGACGCCTGAGAGCAACCCGTGTAAGGTTTGGATTGGCGGATTTCCTCGGCCAGTCCTAGCCAAAGTGATGATCGCCGTCGCCGACACGATCAAGACGCAGGGGCTCGTGCCGCAGGACGTGCCCTTCCCGACGCGGGCGCACAACCTCAACTCCTCCTTCAGTATCGAGTTCGAGTCTGACACGAATGCCAGAGACTTCGTGGACCAGGTTCGGACCAAGGGCATGCACTGGACGGACCCGAAGACATCCGTGCAGGTTCCCATGCGGGCGCGGTTGGATGCCCCATCGTCGGTCGGACGCCGTAACAAGGCGCTCGGCCTGCTGTGGGCGCGTTTTTCCGATCATCTTCGAGAAGTCAACGGATGGCGCCAAGGCATGAAGTTGGGATCTCAAGGCTTCAAGGGAACCCTCTTCTTGATTGAGAATGACGAGTGCAGTGTGCTCTTCCAGGTTGAGGAGCTTGAGCAGAACCAGTTCGACGTGAAACCAGAGCTGGATAATTTAGCGGCTATCGGCATCGACCAGCGCAAGGCCGAGTCCATGGCGGCCGTCATCATACCACGCTAGGACACTATCTTGCTGTCTCGGACATGTACTGGGCTGATCCTCTACACCCGAGATGGGCAGGCCCCTGTGGCCGACTCTGGTGCACCTCTGGGTGCCGCCTTGCAGCGCGGGCACGAAGTTGTCGCGTCGAGCATTGCAGCGACTGCCTCTCTCGCCCCAGCGGCACGCATGGATCCTCCTCGCTTTGCGGGCGCTGCAGGGGGTGACGTGCCGACCTCTGAGGCTCGCACTGATCCCCCTGCCAGCCTTGCGGGCCTTGAGGTAAGTGAAGTACTGGCCGCTGGGGCTGCCAATGGTATCTTTTTGTCTTCCTAAGCCCTTCAGTTACATGAGAGACGTACTGGGAATTCAAAGTCCAGCGACAGCACGAGCTCTTCCACCTCGTCATCTTCTTCCAGTTCCTATGGTTCTTCGTCGTGTTCCACTGCATCTGGGGCTTCTTCCTCCTCTTCTACGTGTGGGTCCGCTGCAGGCAGGCCTGACTTCGAGGGGCTTGCGCCTTTCGTGCCTGACCAGCCTTTCGCGATCTGTACGTGGAACGTGCGCTCCCTCTTCGGTGCCACCTATGCTCCCCAGGCCTCTCACCGTGCTAAGTACGATAAGATGGTACCACTCTGTTCCAGATATGACACTGTCTGTATCCAGGAAGCTCGTGGGTCTCAGGAGCATCTTGAGTATCTGCGCAAGGAAGTTTATCAAGCTTGTGGTGTTGGTACATTTCTGGATTCGACGACGTCTAGAGGCTGTTTCATACTTCTTCACCCCAAACTTCAGAGGCTGTTCCGTCACGCAGAGCGCGTAGTTATTGAAAAAAGGCCGTATACATAGCCTCACGTTCTTCAACAACAAACACTGTCTGCAAATCATCAACATGCATCTCGACCACAATCATCAGCCCATTATCAAGCAAAATCAACTTCGACGCGTTCGGCGATCTCTTGTTCCCGCGAGATTCTGCTCGCAGATTTTACTCGGCGATTTCAACTTTGCTGCCAGAGGCGAAGGGTCTCACCATGATGACGGGCGTTTCGTCAGCAGCGGCCAAGGCACTGCTAAGGAGTTCGATAGGCTCTTTCCCCACCTCGCTGAGGTGGACCAGGCTTCTTTCACGCACAGGGTCGAGGGCTGGCAAGATGAGCGCAAAATTTTGGTGTCTCTGGGGCGTCTGGACCGCATATATGTGAGCTTTCCCGCTGGTGATCTCTGCGATCTCCACCCGGCGTCCAAAACCCTCTGCTCCCCGGCGGACCTCAAGGAGGTGTCCGATCACACCCCCGTGACGCTCTCGCTCCAGCCTTCTACCAGTTGCCCTAGTCGCACCCCGTCCTGGGTCACCAAGCGCCCGAGGTACCCCGAGGTTGTCGAGGCCACTATTGCTGATGCTGGCGGCCTCTCCGAGGACCCGTTAGAGGCTCAGTATCGAAGTTCGTGACTGTCTGATTGGGGCCGCCAAGGCTCTGAAGCGGGACCTGGAGGAGTTGGGGGCTGTTTCAGAAGCCAGTCGTCTTTCGTGGGCTCTTGCGGCTCTCCGTGCGGTCAGGTCTGGCAACTCTGCGGTGCTCTACAGGGCCCTGAAGGCGTACCCGATGCTCGACTCATTCTTTTGCCTCAAAAACTGCTGTCTCACTAGACATACTGAGTTTCATGCGTTTCTTGGAGGTCTTCAGAACCAGGTTTTAGAGGCGGAGATGGAGGAGATCAGGCAGAATGAGCACATCTCAGAGGCTAAGAGGATAGGCACGATTAACTCCCTGCACGCGTACAAGAGTGTTTGGAGGACTAAGAACCGCAAGCATGGCCTTGGCGCTGTTTCAGACCCTGCAGGCTCACCCTTGTTTGAAGCTGACGAGACTTGTCAGGAGCTCGCCAGGTACTGGGGCCAGGTGCACAAAAAGGTTGCGGTCTCTAGGGATGCTTGGAGGTGCTTTGAACCGTTCGTCCAAGAGGTCCCCCCCGAGATCCGCTGGGAGTTGTCTTTCGACCAGTTCTTGAATATGATGGAACGGATTCCAGACAGCGCACCTGGACCCGACGGTATTCCGTTTTCTGGATGGGCTCGCGCGGGCGACTCGGCCACCAGGACACTCTACTCGCTCTACCTCCACATGCTCCAGGATGGCTCCACCCCCCTCAACTTTAACGATGCCATGGCAGTCTTTCTCGCGAAGGGCGACGAGCCCGCCGACGCGTGCTTCGTGGTTCGGGCTCCAGAGAAGACACGGCCGATTTCTCTTTCGGACACGGACAACAAGATTGTTTCTGTTGCGATCAATATTCCTCTCGGGACCGTTTGCCAGCGTGTGTTTTGTTCAGCAACAACGGGGCTTTGTCAGGGGTCGTCAGATGCTAGGAAACATCCTGGACCTGGAATCCAAGTGTCTTCACTGGCTAGTCCAGCAGAGTATGCAGAAGTGCGGCTACGTCTTTTTCGATGTGAAAGCCGCGTTCCCCAGCTTGATTCACGCGGCCCTCATGTTCACCCTGCATAAGATGCGATTTCCAAGGCATGCCATAAAAGCGATCCAGGCCCTGTACACCAATGTTTTCATCGCCGTCTCTTTCAGAGGCAATCGTAAGCACGGCTTCATCCTGGCCAGGGGCATCAATCAGGGGTGTCCGATGTCGGGCTCGTTATTTGCATTGGCGTACGATCCCATCTTGCGCATGCTGGCGTGTAAGCTGCCGAGACCATTGCATGAGCTCGGGGCCTTCGCAGATGACTGCGGCATGGCCAGCAGTAACCTCGGAGTGCCTTTCCCGATCGCTATCGGCATCTGGGTCTTGGCTGGAGCGGCCTTCGGGCTGCACATACACATCAAGAAAACGATCGTCGTCCTAGTGGGGAAATACTCGGAGCAGGAGTTTCGGGAATCGACTGCTCGACTAGGGCAACTTGCCAAGTGCCAGGTCTGCACGGTCGCGAGGTACCTTGGGATCATGATGGGGGGGGGGGGGGGGGGGGGGCAATGGGTGTTCGGGAAGCTGGGCCTGTCCGTTGGCCAAGTTCAGGGAGCGATCTTACATGGTCCAGGGGCTCGACCTCGGGCTCGTGAAGTCCATCTCGCACTTTAATATGCTCTGCATGTCTGTTTTGTCATATGTCGGGCAGCTGTACGCGCCCACGCCCGAGGTTCTCAAGGAAGAGGAGAGGATGCTTCAGGTTATTGTCCGTGGGCCCTTCAATGCCATCCCGTCCCAGGACCTTCAGGACCTTCAGAGCATCGGGTTTCCGAATCAGGCTGCGTCTGCGAGTGTGCGCAGTCAAGCTGCTCGTTTTCGCGTCGCTGAACGCGTTGAGGCTTTCTCTGAGGCGGTGGAGCTTCTTATCAGCTTCGGCACCACCGACGAGTGCTGCATTGCATGGCAGAATCACCCGATGTGGAAAGGTAGCGTGATGAAAAAACCTGTGCGACAACTATTTGGCGCTCA